CACATTACTATTGAAACTATTGAAAATAACTATTGAAAGTAAGCTGCAACTATTGAAAATAACGATCAGAATGGTAACCGTAACGAGCACAATAACAACAAATAACCACAGCACACCCACCCGTGCCTTCGGCACCATCAAATTCTGACGGCTCAACGAGCGCCACCGACGGTGGACTATCTTCCTTTCCGATCAGATTTTCATTCACCGCATCAGACGGCAGATGATCACCGCCTGCAGCATCCGCCATTGAAATTTCGTTTTCGTTAACACTGAACGCTTTCTGAATACGATACGAAGTTTTTGTATGTGATTTGCCAACAAAGCTCTCAGCAGCAGCAGCACCACCGTTGTACGTGCGTTCTGGTAACGATCCTTTACGTACACCTCTTAGATTCTGCAATCATCGAATCATCAAACGATTTCTCGAAGATCATCGCACATATGAAGATGCCTCATTTGTTCCTCTCTCTCCGCTCAGTATTTCTTGAAACTTTCACGTTTACAAGACATCACATCATTCAGTTCCAACTGCTTGAGCGGAAACAACTGAAGAGATTTGCAGATGGACAGATAGATGGATTGATGGACTCGTAAGGATTGATTGAGCTCTTTGTATCAATGAAAGTCCAGAACAACTGTTGCTTCCAATAAGCAATCACTCAAACATTCGAAAAAGATACATCATCCACACATCAGATATTTCGATTAATTGCAGAAAGAAGACACACAACCACTGTGTACAGCGAATAACTTTGACAGAATTCACGCGCACTACTTTAATTGTGTTACAAAACATAAAACAAATACGACTGAACATGTTTTTCTGATAATTTTGCACACATATCAATAGATATATGTACACACCACTACATTTGCCACAAAACTACTGTTGGATTATATGTATAAAAGTACATACATACGTATGCGAATATTCTGAGCTCATTCAAAGTGTGAAAGGAAGGCATTTATTTGATTTCACCCAGTTCTAAATAATGCCCAAGAGCCACACTGACTTACTGCAACTAATACGTTACAAATGAAAATGCTCACGATCAATAGAAATCGAAATCAAAAGTTGCACTTTCTTGCCCTACTATCGCCTTCAATAGATGAAATAGATTAACATCACCGTAACGTTAATCATTCAAAATTCGCCTATTCAACAAAAAAAAGATTTCAATTCTAAACGTAACTAACGTATAAAAGAAATAAGCACCGACTCAAGCCAACATCGACATTAAATCAAAGCAAACAATTCAAAAACTGATTGAACTACCATCGTAATGATCAGCGTCACCGATGCATGCCTTGATTCGGCATTCGAAGTGAACACAAGTTCACAGCTACAACTGGCTATGCGAACAGGCGAGCGCACAGTCTTATCGGCCATATCATTGTACGTCTTCGGCTCATTGCCGTCACCACCCTCAACACCGTCAGCAGCAGAATCTGTCGGTGACGAACCGGAAGAGGATTCTGAATCTGAATCCGGAAGCACTTCTCTACGACAAATCGAGCGAATATTTGCTGAACTTTTGAAATCTTGCTGACGATACTCAACAATTCGTTGTCTCACTCGCCAACGTGATGATGATGACGGTTCACAATTGAGAAATCTTCTGCTAGCACAGTTTCCGCGATGAATTTTTGATGTTTCCTCCATTTGCAGTTCAATTTGTA